AATTGGACCTAAAATAATGTAGACAGTGTATATACCCGCATTAGAGCAATGTTTCATCCGAAACCAAGTCTTCAAGGGTTAAATTGACAGTCATTAAAACTGAATCAAGACACTTTGAGTCCTGTGAGAGAGACACAGGGCTGAACCTTAAAGCCCTTTGGAAACTCACACCCATATGACAAATGAGAATCTGATATCACCTGTGGAATGCTTGAGTCTGGAGACGTCGTTCATCTGAGAACTGCTGTACTATGCTTTACTCTACACCTGAAAGATTGTCTACTTGGCATCTGAGAACTTGTGCCAAAAAGTGGATATTACAATCTCAGTGTCACAAACCTATTCCCAAAAGCTACCACACCTGTCCTGTAACCTGTAAGTTCAAAGGGATCTATGGCTATATAATGATGAACCTGTAAAACAAGAATCTTCTACAAGAATTTCCTGGACAAAACTAGCATGAGATATTTTCATAATGCTGAATCCTGAAAAAAAAAAAACTAAACAAAAAAAAAAAACAATCGTGATCCACTATACATATAATATACACTACCATTCAAAGGTTTGGGTTGGCACAATTATTTTTAAAGTTTTTGAAATCTGAATTTAAAATAACTTTTCTACCTTAACTTTAACTGTCACCCGTCCCTAGGGACGCCTAAGTTTACTTCACTATATTACAATTAAATCCTAATCTAATCATGACAAACTATATATTGTTGGTAAGGTCTAAGACTCCTAAATAGATATTTTACCAATGTTTTTGTTAAAAATTATGTAGGAAAGTAATAGATTAATTTTTGACAAGAGGGCACCTCAAAAATCTACATCATAACAGGAGTTCTGACCTTTGTAAAAAAAAAAGTCTTCTTTGTTGCCTTTTTCTCTATCACACTTTAGAAATCATCAGAAATTATATATCAATTGAAAACTTTAAATCTCAAAATTCATCCTTTGAAACCCTTTTTAAAATCAAACATTGCATTACCATGAAAATGGTACATCAATATCATGTTACAAAATGTTTTCGTTCATGAATTATAAAAATTTAAGTTTGGATCGTGCACCTTCACGTCTATGTTCAAAAATGTGAGTGACAGTTAAGGGGTTAAAGTAGCCAACAATAGGAGTGATTATTTTACCATAAAAAAAAAAACTTTTGAACCTCTACAGAAGATTTGAAAAGAAGAATAAATAGTTGTTGTTTGTTTTTTTTGTTTTTTTTTAAATGCTATCAGCACTTTCAAATTTGTAAATAAACATTATTTTAAGAACATTTTCACATTTAATTAAATTGTTACTTGTGTTACTTTGTAATTATTTGTGAAATTTACTAGCAGTTTCTGAGTGAAAATTGTTTCGAAGTAACTCCTTCACTATTTCTTTTAAGTGCAGCATTGCTCCCATGTGATAAATACAAGGAACTAAATTTCGGAGTTTTAATCTTTCTCAGAGGAAATTGGATGACGTAACAAAGTGACCTACGCTGGCACGATAATGACAAGAACAAGATAGTGTGCAAATTCTGGCCAGTATCCATGATTAAAAACAAGTGTGCTACAGAATGGCACCGAGGTTTTTTTTAACTCTAAAACATGAAATGTGGAGTTATCTGCTTTTGCCAAAAAAAAACAACTGTTGGAGTTATTTGCTTTTGCTATAAAACAAACTTTTAATATGTAAAAAAAAAACATACTTTCAATGAACTTTAATTTTGTAAATTACCTGTATTTGTTTAAGTTATTATTACTTAATCAAAACAATCCAACTGCAGTTTGATTGATATTACGCATTAATTACGATTAATGCGCAGTAAAAAAAAACGTGATTTCTGAAAAAAATAATAATAATTTTTTTCCTCAATTTACAACCATCGGCATATCGGCTATATAAGGAAAAAGGCCGATATAACAAACGATGGTTTATTAATTAACTGCGTGAAGGCACTGAGCTGTTTAATATCTACAGATAGTGCTGCTGTCTGCACTTTAATGCTAATCAAATAACAAAAGACAAAAGATCGCACACTATTCTTGACTAAATAACTTTTGTAACTTTCATAAGTGTAGCGGACCTCATCTGAACGATGACCAAAACTTCACTGATGTTTTAAGTTTATTGTGTCCTTTTTCACTCCAAAAAAAATCATCATAAGAGCTAAACAAAACACAGCACGAGAAGTGCACATTAAACTCTCTCTCAGTTGCATTATCATCAACATACAGAGAAAAGAAAACCTAGAAAACCTGTCAAAATAACAGTCCCGCCTTAGTAAAGGAGATCTCATACATATTTAAACTTACAAAAAATATTAAAATGTATACAAAAACAAATTAGAAGATTAATCATAATACATTTTTTTGTATTTGTTTACTTTATTTCTGTACCTGAAAACTGTTAAACCTACCTAAAAAGCACTGTTTATTTAATATGTATCTTTGTTCTGTTGTATTTATGTAGGCCTGGTGAATGTTAAATGGATCCAATCCATGTTCATTAGAAATTATTTGATGATGCAGCAATACAACTCCTAGTATAATTTAATGCAGGTGTTTTTGAACTTTGCTGATTTAAAACATGATCAAAATACTATCTATTTTGATGCCAAAATTTCAAATAAGAGAGGAAGGAAGTGACAAATATCGGTATCGTCCAATAAGTGTTTGTTAAAATCAGTATCGGCCCCAAAAAATCCTATCGGCGCATCCCTAATATATATATATCTTCACTTTTACTTTTGATCAGTTTTAAAATATATTTAAAATATATATATATACAGATAAAAAATATTAAATTCTAACTCCAAACACAGCCACATTTATTCCTATGTTTTTCAGTTAACTTAATATATACATTGTACTCAGAATGAAATTCCTCACATTTTTTCAGATAACCCACAGACAAAACCATGCAGAGCAAACACAGACAAGAGAGGGGCTCCCTGTCATGGTCTCATGCTTGGGGGACATTAAGGATGCATTCCCAGCCCTCCAACTCACATTAGTCAGTTAATTTCCCAGCCAACCTGAGGAAGTATACATTTATAGATGCAATAAATTCAATTAACAGTATCCTCCTTGTGACCAAAAAATGTACAGGTGCAAATGACTATATATTAGCAGAAGTACCCACATATACCCAAAAAATGCAGAGGCACAGAGGATGCACTAGGGCCAACTCTAATGTATCTCATTTCTATCTTAAATATGCGGAAACATGCATTCAGAGTTATATTATATTATCAGGAGGAAGCAGCTTGTGTTATTTCACTAGCCTTAAATCTGTTCACTGTAAACAGTTATTTAAAAATATTAAATGAAAAAAGTCATTATTTGCTCTTATGTTGTTCCAAAAATTATCACATTCTTTTATGGAACACAGAAGGAGACAATTAGGAATATCAGACACTGACAGCTCAAGTCCCCATTTACATTCACTGCATTTTTTCTATAAAATGAAAGTGAATGGAGACTAAGACTTTCATTTTGTCTAATATTTCCTTCTGTGTTCCAGACTGACATACAACTTTTGTTTTTGGTTTGAAACTGCACAAGGGTTTAAAATCTGAATTTTTGGTCAACTGTCCCTTTAATTCAGCGTTACACGTTTAATTTTTCTGGGAGAATAAACAACAGTTCTCATTGAGGACGTTCTGTTCTTCAATTAATGTCTTATTTAATTATCTCTTCTTGTATTTTATTTGACATTTCAGCTGTATGGGGCCTGCAGTCATTAGCTCATTTAGCAGCAGAAGCACCACAACAGCTTCCCTAGCCTACAGGAAGCGGGCGAGCCGAATTGTTTTGCTTATAATCGTATCCTCAATGGCCAGATAATCATCCTGCACGCAGGAAAACAGATGTATGACTGTCTATAAGTGAAATCGTTGGGGAAATAATTGTGTGACTGCTTAAATTCCACCATTTACCAAGTTTTACGCCTAGCTAGCGTCTCTGGAGCGGTTAGCTCGCGAGCTCACACACAACAGCTCGAGCGCAAGCAATGAATGACCGCGAGCGTGCCTCTCTCACAGTTTACACTTCAGTTAGTGGGAACGTTTGTCATTTCTTAATGTTTTTGATTCTGGCTTGCAAATAGTAAGGAATAAAACATAGGCCCTTCGCCGTCTTTCACAGCGGTGGATGTATTTTTAACCCACCCATATTCGGGAGACGAGTGAATGTACCGAAACGGAAGTGGCTAACAAACAGAGTGCCAAACGCTAAGCCAGCTGTCGCTTCTCTTTGGCTGATAGTTTCAATGATATTTGAGGATGTCGTGGTATTATGATTAAAAAAGAATGACTAAAAATGTGTAGTGTATCTCACTTCACGGTTACCTTAATGATCCTGCGGGGCAACCCTGCCATCTTGTCTTGAATGCGGATTTTAGCTTTGACGCTCGGTGCCTCTTACTTCGTTTGCATTGACGGAGGAGACGCAGTGCACACACGCCTTCCGGCGCGTTGCGTCCAGACGCACGCGGAAACGTACGAATTTGATGATGATATGGACGTTGTAGTTTGTATTTAATGAAAGCTGTTGCTTTCACGCGTCCCGAGAAAACACATGATTAAAGTGTTTTATGTCATTCATTCTGGGCAGTACTTTTTACACTTTTTTTTTTGTACTGTGGACGTCCTGTATTTGACGTGAACATTTAGAAATTAGCACTTTTGATAAATATGCTTATGTATGAACACTACATTTCTACATTTGCAGTCTTACAAACCTATTATATAGCATTCTCAGGACAGCTGGTATTGATGGAAATATTCTGACATAAACTTGATAAAACTATAAACGTAATCAAATTATGAACTATATTGATAAAGTGTATTCGTGAAGCACCTCCTCTCTCTCTCCCTCTCTCCCCCTCTCCCCTAATACCTCTTTTATTTGAACATGGGTACTGAAGTTTTTGGAGTAGATGCCACACAGAAATAACATTTCACAGTCCTTCAAAGGCGTCCAGACACAGAGGAGCAGGTCATCACAGAAATGAAGTCTCTTCAGATACTAAGACCAGGTATGAAAACTTTTTTTCTGCCTAAAGACAACATTTCTTATTGTTTTTTTTTATCAGTATGATTTATCCTAAAATATTGTGTCATATTTGTAGACAATATAACTTTGTAAAAACCTTTAAATCTAAAAAAATATATACTATATTAAGAATTTATGTTGATATATTTATACAGGCATTTACACATCACAGTAGGGCATATTCAAAAGTAATGATGGATGAATAGATCTTAAAATTGAAATAGTGAAGACTGAGGGTCCTTTAATATTATGATGTATCAAACTAATACTAATGTTATACTCACACACACACACACACACAAATATATATATAATTTAATTATGTTTGGAGTACACACTAAAACATTTAAGGAACATATTAAACAGTTATATAATTATGAATAATATGTTATAAGTACAAGCAAGAATAAATAGTAAAAGTAGTTGGCCTAATAAAAAGTAGGTAGAGAGAATAGGATATCTCAATAACCACCTATCTCCTCCAGGCCTCCATCTTCCAGGTTGTCCTCCCCCTGTAGATGCCTATTATGATTGGAGAAGAAGAGCAACCATTGAGGAACCACGTTCTGCATTTTCAGTGGCAAGAACTAGATCAGCGCTGGGAGAAAGCAGAGGGCGTCGTGAAAGAGAAGCTCTCACGTTTGACGTAGAGTATGTGAACATTGGTGGCCATTTTAACAAAACATCCGGACATTTTACCTGCCACTTCCCCGGTGCGTATTACTTTGCATTTACTGTGGGAAAGCACCCTCGTCGAGCGGTTTCAGTGAAGCTGATGACGGGCAGAGGCGAGGTGCTGGCCATGGTGTTCGACGAGGACATGTCGCGGCGGAGAGAGATGCAGAGTCAGAGTTTGCTGTTGTCACTGGAAAGAGGAGACAGTGTCTGGCTGTACAGTCAGCAGGATGACGGATATGCCGTTTACAGCAACCAGGGAAGATATACGACCTTCTCTGGTTTCCTGGTCTACCCTGACGGCGAATTCATGAACATAGACAGAACTTTCCCTTGAGAACCAAAGCCAGCAACAGTACTGATTAATTCATAGTTTAGTTTTTGTACTAAATTAGTTTTTTTTGTTTTTTTGTACCTCTTAACATAGTACTATTGTTATGTGCTTCTACACAAATTTAACCAGGGTTAAATGCATATTGCCTGCTGTGGACTGTTTTCCTGATGCCACTGGGGTGGCAGTAACACCTGGGCTTGGGCCCATCATTGCTGCTTGCAGCTATATTTGATCTTGTGTCTGAATGGGAGCCAATCCCTTCATCTTCCATCATATTGTAAAAATCTTTCCTTAGAAAAATTGAGGACTAACCCCCTATTAATAACGTTTTGAAAATACTGTTCAGCAAGTATATATGGGTGCATTCAGGTGTCCACATACTTTTGGCCACATAGTGGATAATATAATGATTAACACTTACCGTTTTTTTGATCGTTCATGATGAAAAAGGAATGTAATATGAATGTTTGATTTGAAAAAATAATAAACAAACATAAGGAATGTCAGAGCATAATGAAAATTAAAAGGACATGTCAGTGCCGATAGTCTTGTGGGCAGCACGCCAACATATAGCGCTGTTGCGCTATGCGTGTCCCGAGTTTGAATCCCAGCTTGAGGATGTTTCTTGATCTCGCCCCCCCCCCTCCACTTCGCTTCCTGTCCTATACTAATAAAGTCAAAAAATGCGCAAAAATAAATCTTAAAAAAAGAACAGTGCTGGTACCACAAGCGCTAGCATCAACTAAAAGGAGAATATGTTTCTCAAAATTAGGAGTAATTAGCACAAGAGCATTTGATAATAAAGCTTTAGCATTTTCGAAGGCAAACTTTCTGACCATTTAAAGGCCTCTTTGAGAAAGCTAAAGAAGGCCACTCGCAAAATTCTGACAAAATCCTCAATAGTACTTCACCATCCCTAGAAGTCAATACAGTTCAAGATGAGATTGTGTACAGACAGATAGCATCCATTTTAGCATTGATGGGTCTTACAGAACGCAGCCCAATTATGTCACAGTGGCTTTTCCAAATTAGCGCTTAGCAAGACTAATGGTCAGATTTGAAAAAAGCTCTCTAATTTAGTCAAGTTGTTCAGACCAGGAAAAACTATACAGAACAACATTGTCCAAGCATCACATCCTGTCTTTTAAAGAACTAAAATTGGGTTCTGCTAAATTATGAGTAAGTAGATAATCCACCTCTCTAAGCAATTCCTTTTTCATGGGATACACTCAACAGGCATGCTGTTTTACCAGTTGGGCCATACCAACATCAAAGTCACGTTCAGTGACATGAGTTCAGGTAGGGACATCAGAGAAGAGAGAGGGGAATGAGCTTACCATCTCAACTATCAGCCTTTGTAACTTAAGAGAAGTATCAAGACATGAAGTTCGAGCCCTGATCAGACAGAATTGTTTTTGGAATGCCAAAAACAGACATAAAATTAAGGCCTTTGAAATCAATTAAATTGTAATCAGTCTCAGAGGGTAAGCTGCAGGGTAGCATGTGCACTAACACATTACCGTGAGTAACATGTACAGCCTTTGATTGTGGTAAAAGACCAGCACAATAGAGTCACATGTTCAAAACAAGTTAATTATCAGGTTGAATTATCATATTTACTCACTACAATTATGAGTAAGCAGATAATCCACCTTCTTAAGCAATTCCCTTTTTATAGGATTTACTCGAAAGGCATGCGGTTTTACAGGTTGGGTCACACCAATGTCACTGTCATGCTCAATGACATGATCACAGGACATCAGAGAAGAGAGAGGGAATGAGCTTACCAATTAAATTATATCAATCTTGGTAACTTTAGAGAAGTATCAAGGCATTAGGTTTGATTATTATTTAATTTTGGGTGGGGGGGCTTCATTAATGACTTAACAAGCATTAGGGCTTTTCACACTGGGTCATTCAAAATGTAATACTGTGTTATCAATTAATTGTGAGTATTATTGATAACCTGACGTTTAACACTATCTAAATCCTGGGTTAACGTTCTTATTTGCATATTTGCAGTGTCATTGATTGGACGAATTCAGGCTCTTGCTATCAAGTTGTACTATTATAATTATTTATTTATTTTTAACATATTAGTGATCTATACGTGTTTTGTTTCATACTATTCAAGGATTCATAGAATAATGCTTGTTTTTCCTCTTTTTTGTTTATTTTACATCACATAAAACAATAAAATAACTATTTCTAGCATTTAGAAGCAAGTATACAAGTTTTCACACAAACTGAACTTCTGTTCAACAACATTAAAACTTTGTGAGTCACAATGAGAGACAATTTCAAAAGAGCATATATCACTTTCATTTATTTAAAAGCACTCTACGGTAAATGTGTTCAAAGAAATAGATTTTAAATATTTTTATATAACTGAATTTAACATGTTAATTTAGTGCGGTTATTTTTAAAAAGAAAGAAAGAAGGAAAGAAAGAAATATAGTGGTATGGTATATTGAATGGAAATGATAAAGTGGAAATAAATAATATATTGGCTAACAAACTACACATAATTGGCCATTTCTTGTAATGTCAATAATATTTAATGCTAATATTCAGTACTATATAATTGATTGTGATTAGTTTAATTATTAATTTGCATATTATGTAATTAATTCATTAATTGGCAGGCCATGTTTTACTCTAAATTCAGGTTTAAACACTAAATAAATATTCAGAACATTCTATTTGCACTATGTTATTATTCACTGGACTATAAACATTCATTATTAAATGCAAAACATTATACTGAAGTTATAGACCTAGCAGATGGGTTCTGGAAACATAAAGCTGTGTCTGGCCCATACGTCTCAGGCTGGTGGTTTGAGTCCAGGATCTGTGCAACATGATCGACATGGTTCATTAAAAAAAAACTATAACATTTAAAATGTCATCATTTTGTGTGTGATCCATTGGCTCACCTGATGTGACTGATGTGACTGCTTTCTATAAGATTTAATTTCTGTGTCAGCATATGCCACAAAATGGATTAATGTGTAGATTCTGAAACAAAAGAACATAATCTATTACTTATATATACTATACATAAAATAGGATTAAAACAGGATGATATATACATATACTAAAACTGGTTTTACATTTATAATGTATAATATACATGATACATTAATAGTATAATGTATAATACACTTGATTTTCTACTTTTTTAAATTGAAATACTAAAATAAAATAGGTCTGATCATTTTTAGCATATAAAACAAAAATGTCTCTTTATCAGTAATTGTGATTTTATTCTTGTGTGCATGTTTAGTTACCTGTGGTAAAGCATTGCAACAAACTGCATTAACAGCAATAATGCGAAGCTCAGTAACATCAGTGCGATTGGTTCTGAAACAAAAGAACATAATCCATTAAAAAAACGTCTCTTTATCAGTAATCGTGATTCGATTCTTGTGTGCATGTTTAGTTACCTATGGTAAAGCATTGCAACAAACTGCATTAACAGCAGTACTGTGAAGCTCAGTAGAAACATCAGTGCGATTGGATCTAGGGAAAACACTTCTGTTGGGTCATAAGTCCCATTGGGATAGATTTTTGGGATCTTTATAGAGACTAAGTCACCAATCGCCTGAAGGAAGAAAGTTGCCACCAGCCAAAGTGCATTGCAGAAGAAAAAGGCAAATGTAACCTGTAAGGAAAAGAAAAGCTAACAGCATGAAAACAAATATTTACTGTTCCAGAGCAAATACTTTAGACAAAACCACATAAAAAGTTATTTTTGCATACTGACATACTTTATTTCTTTTGCTTACCTTATTTCGAAGTTCTCTCAGATCATCAGCAACTTTTTCCTGTTGTTCTTTATTCTCTTTAAGAGGTTCCAGATATTTCTTCTGCAGTTCTCTCCAGAAGTCGATTTCATCCTGCAACATGTGATTTAAAAATGCGGAATTAAAACATCTCAGAGGAAATTTGCTTTGCTAATATCTAATCAGCAACTCATAAAAGCATGACATGGTCAAAAACATTTAAAGTATACAGTTGACATATCTGCAGCGTCAAAAGACTCAAGTTAGCATGACCAAAAATTACTGTGAAAAAAAAACTGTATTATGGCACAAAAATACATAGCTGCTTTTTAATAAAAAACAACAACAACTAAATAATAAACAAATAATGTTTAAATTAAATTATAAAATAAAATATTTCAAATATTTTGTTAGTTAGACTTACCAAAGGCAGTGCAGATTCATCCAAAGGAAATTCATAAGATTTCATCTGCAGATGTTCAATCCAAGCTTTTGGATTAAACATATATTAGTTTTAATGGTAGTCAAATTCAATAAGTCTACCCAGAATATTATGATATTATTTATGGAAGTCACACTTACTTTGATGAGGACTAAGCTGGAACTCATGATCCCTACATTGTAGGAATACAGTATTAGTTTTAGTAGTAGTATGTAAGAATGTAAGAATAGTTACAAAATAAAATGCTACACAGATGGACTGAAGTGTCAGTGTTAAATTGTCCTATTGTGTGGGCATGTTTTTACCTTTGTGTTTCCAAGGGAATATGTGGCTTTTCAGTTTGTGTTATGGTTTCTGCTGGTAATATCTTCTCACTCAGATCTTCAGATTCCACGCATGGACATTTGCAGCATGTGGCATTCATGACCTTCTTCTTGATGGTATCGACTGCCGTAGTTTTAGCCTGGCTGCCAGTTTCACGAGTGCCCCACGTGACATTGTTCATGTTGACTATGGAGTAAATAACTAGGAGTAGATACCCACTGGGAATGCAAAGGAAGTATAACAAACCATAGATGACCAATGAGAACTCCTGAGGGTGTAAAGCTGCCGTGATGATGTACAAAACCACCATGCCGATGAGGAACAGACCACTGGGGGTCAGAAAAGTATTTTGCTTCACTAAATCACCTATGAGAGTTGACAAGAGAAGAGCAACTATTATAGATATAGGTTAGATCATATTGGCATCTTTTAGAAAAAATGTGCAATCTAAAAATATTGATGGACTAAAGTATACACTACTGTACTTTCAAAAGGTTGGGAAGATTTTCTAACGCATCTAAGTCTAATGTACACTACCATTCATAAGTTTTAGTAAGATTT